CTCCTCCTCCTCCTCCTCCTCCTCCTCCTCCTCCTCCTCCTCCTTCTCCTCCTCCTCCTCCTCCATTCCTTCTCCTCATAGGTATCTTGTAATTGCCACACCCCGAAGCCATTGTTTAGAGCGGGCCGGGCGTTTCGCCTGAGACTTCCCCACTACTTACGACTCTGAAGCTTACAAAATGGCAACATTCTCACAGATGGAGGGCGGGTCGTTTTCAAAATGTGGCTCTCGCCCGGGCGCCGCGCACATTCGGTGTAAAGTTCAAGAACTTCACGGATTGAGGGCGGGTCGTTTTCGAAATGTGGTTATCGCCTTAGCACCGCGCACACTCGTTTAAAGCATTTGCGAGAATTTCACGGACGCCTTAGCGCCGCGCACACTCGTCTTTCAAATTTTCAAGAGCGTCACGGATTGAGGGTGGGTCGTTTTCTGAATGTGGTTCTCGCCCCAGCGCCGCGCACATTCATTGCAAGAGTTTCACGGACGCCAGGGCGCCGCGCACATTCGTCTTGAAATTTGCAGAGAGCTTCACAGATTTGGGGCGGAGCTTCAAGGATTGAGGGCGGGTCGTTGTCGAAATGTGGCTGTCGCCTTAGCGCCACGTACATTCGATTTAGAAATTCGCGAGGGCTTCAGGGATTGAAGGCGGTTCATGTTCAAAATGTGGCTCTCGCCTAAGCGCCGCACACATTCGGTTTAAAAACTTGCAAAAGTTTCACGTGTTCCCATGATCAACGTACCGGAAAAGGTGTTTTGAAAGGATTCAGGATTATGCGGGCGCAACAGTTATGTCGATTCGCGGTGTTGAAGTACCAAAAATGGCGTTCTGGCACGATTCTGGATCGTCACGACGCAGCAGTCAGGTTGATACGTGGCGTTAAAATCCCGAGAATAATGTTTTGGCACCCTTCACGATCTTCAAACGGTTGTCTTCCAGCGAGGTAATTCCCTGAATGGAAATGACACCACTGTAAGGGGCCTATGAAGGAAGAGCTTGGAGGGAGGGTTAATTCCAGCATCGTTGATGACTCTTGGGTTTACACTGGTCCTCCTCCTCCTCCTCCTCCTCCTCCTCCTCCTCCTCCTCCTCCTCCTCCTCTTCTCTTCTTCGACATGCCCTCCGACACCTCACCCTCTTCACGCCGAAGAGAGGGGCTTGGGAGGGGCGCCCGCCCTTGGAAGCTTGCTCTCGATCGAGAGGCGGAAGGTGCACTGCGCGAAAAGCACGGCGACTCCGAAGCGGAGCCTGTCCGGGCACGATATGGCAGGAAGAGCGGTAGCGCAATGTCACGTCGATGTCGGCGGCTCGGAGGAGGTGATTATGAGAAGGAAGAGGAGGAGGAGGAGGAGGAGGAGGAAGAGAAGAAGGAGGAGGCATGGAGGAGGAGGCATGGAGGAGGAGAAGGAGGTAGGGAGAGGGAAGTAGGGAGGAGGAGGAGCGAGGAGGAGGAGGAGGAGGAGGAGCGAGGAGAAGAAGGAGGGTGAGGGAGGAAAACGGGTTGGAGGAGAAGGAGGAGGAGGAGGAGAGGAGGAGAGGAGGAGAGGAGAAGGAAGGCGAAGGAAAAGAGGAGGAGGCAGGAGGGGGAGGGGGGGAGGAGGAGGATGAGGGGGAGGGAGGAGGCGGAGGAGGAGGAGGAGGAGGAGGAGGAGGGGAGGAGGAGGAGGAAGGGCAGCAGGAGAGGAGGAGGGGGGGAGGAGGGGGAGGAGAGGAGGAGGGGGAGGAGGGAGGAAGAGGAGGAGGAGAAAAAACGAAGGAGGAGGAGGAGGAGCGAGGAGAAGGAAGGAGGGAGGAAGGACGGGGGGGAGGAGGAGGAGGAGGAGGAGGAGGAGGAGGAGGAGGAGGAGGAGGAAGAGGAGGAGATTGGGGAGGAGGAGGAGGAGGAGGAGGAGGAGGAGGAGGAGGAGGGGCAGGAGGAGGAGGAGGAGGAGGAGAAGGAGGAGCGAGCAGGAAAGAGGAGAAGGGCGGAGGCCGTGGGAGGGCGAATACCCCGATCAGCCTGCAGTCGGCCGACTTCTCTACGGCCATGAAGCCGAATCCGCCGCCGGGGACGAAGCTGCCCCACAGGGGTTGAAGTATCTAGAATCACGAGCGACGGGAGCGCGCGTGCGTAAGCTCGGCTGCGGCAAGGCGGAATCAACATGAGGCCCAGCGCCTGTTCAAACTGCCACCCAAGCTCACGCTGACGCCGAACATCCAGACAATGTCCTGCCAGAATCAGCTACACTCAGCTGTGCCACAATGAAAATAACCACGCTCCAAAGCACAAAGTGAAGCTGAGCTAAAATGAAGTACCAAGCAGCAGGTAACGACAAAAGCCAGACAAGACTGAGTTAAGCTGCGCTTGGTTTAAGGAAACTACTAAGACGCAAAGCAAAGAGTGAGCTCGAAACTGCTTCGAGTTGATCTAGGCGATGCGGAGCTGGATAAGGTAGGACATGCTACGCTAGAGTTGACTAAACTGAGCTGAGCTAGATAAAGAAGACATGCAGGCACACAAAA